TGCTAGTGCTGCCCTAATTTAGAGGGTAAATAGTTTACCTGTGTTTTCTGAGAGTGCGCTACTGTACTTTTGGGCAATGCTATGGGAATTGAGAAAATAAATCAATATTCCACACATAGACTCAATCCAATCCTTATTAATGAGATTGATACTGAGGGAAAGAAAAAATGGGAAAAAATTTTCACTCTTTCAGGAAGTATAGATGATTTTGGGTGTAGAAATTTTCATTCAGAAAGTCAGTTTTAAATGAGAATGTCTCGGCTTACAGTCCCTTCTTCCTCCTCTTCTTTTAATTAGGCTCTTTTCTTTACCTGTCAGACCCTTGCAGTCCTTCCTCCTGCTTTCTATCCCCTCTACAGATATTGCCCTGCATGTGCACTGACCACACACAGCCTTCATGGGTAGAGAACATCAGCAAATTGGTGAGCATGAGGCAAGAAAAGGGGTTGAAAGGACAGGAGGGGTCTGTGAGCTGCCAGCCATCTCTCTGTCAGATGGATCATAGCTGAGCTTGGGGAGCCTCGTGGTTTCCAAACAGCACAAAGCAGTCATCACATGTGGTAAGAGTTCAGCACATGTTCTCTCATTTCTGACTACTCCACCCCTGAACTATAACACAATCAATAATCCATCTGCTTCTTAGATTAGGTTTTTCCTGTCTGGATGCTCAAGGCACCTCTGTATTTCTGAGCTAGTACTGAACTAGAGCTTCTGGGACCTAACCATGTTGTTACTTCATCCTAGTGATACAAGTGGACCTACCTCCCCTAGGGAAGAAGTGCAGTTTGCCTCCAGAGCACATCCTTCAAGAGGCAGGACCCAAGGTGTACAAACCCACACACCCATTTCCCTCATGCACAGTGCCTGTTTCCCGGGAGCTTGTTAATGCTGGGGGGACAGGGGCCTGCAAAAAAGCTCCTGCCTCTCCCCCTGGTCTCCACCGTCATTTCCCATCCCAGCAGGACTGAAGACCCAGCCATTCCCATTGAGTTGTTTTCTTGGTCTGCTGGCAGAGAAAGAGCAGCAGGAGTCGGATCCACCTGCAGCCAGAGGTCCCTTGCAGGTCGTGTCCACTGGCACACCTTTTAGGGACCTATTCAAACATGCCCAAAAAGTGGAAGTGCAGAGGCCAAGCCAGTGTGGAACTACAGAGCTTGTGTTCCTGCTCCTGTTTGGAAAGGGCCACTCTGTGCTTTAGGTGCCGCAGCCCTGCCTCAGCAGAGGGAGCGCAGAGCAGGACACGCAGCCAGTTTCAGAGGTGAGGAGGCCCTGGGTGCCTGGCACATGGCCCCTTTTTCTCAGCAGATCTTCTTCCTGGCTGTGCCCGCCTCTGGGTGGGTGCACCAGCTGGGGCTAGAAGCAACTTCAGAGACTGGGGAAGGTGAGACCAAGAAGGGGACTTTTCCTGGGCAGCTTAGACCACGAGACCTCCAGAGAGGCACTAGGACAAAGATGCAGAAGCATCCAGTGCTGGCCCAATGCTGATCTTCCTGGGCCAGTGGGAATTTTGTCACTGATGAGGCCAGTGGGCTTAGGCTGAAGCCAACAGGGCTCCCATATGAACATCTTACCTGTGGGATCTCAACAGGATGGACAACCCCAGTGCAACTGTATTTGCAGGAATTAGTGGAAGGAAGCCTAGATGACTTTGAGTGATTTAGGCTTTTATGCACCGTGGACCATCCTGTAAAAGGATTAAAACAAGCAGTCTTTCAAACCCAAGGCATTTAATAAAATAAAACTTCTCTTTTCTGCCCCCTCTCCCCCCACCCCACAAAAACCTAGGTTAAAAATATGTAGCTATACATTGGATGCAAAGGAGAGAAAACTCCTTCTTCTCGGGGTACAGAGTAACTTTTAGAAACAATGCAGCCCACTAGACAAAAGTATTTGGGGGATTGGATGGAATAGGCCAGGCAAGCTTTCTTTCCTTGGCTTCTCTGTTAAAAGCATCATAGGTGGAGTCTTTGGTGACACTTTTGGCTGTAGCTGGAATATCTGCAATACCAACATGATTTTTTTTTGCTATCCTGGAACTGGTGGTGATGGTGTATGCATTGCTTCTGTAGCATTTCATGGCAGACATGCAAAAAGTTTCTTTCATCCCTCTTCTGAAGTTCGCATTATAGATGGAATAGAGTGTTGGCTTAGAGGATGAGGAACTGAAAGAGATTGAGGTGATGGCCAGGAAAAGCAAGGAACTCTTTCTGTAATCTGTTTCCTGTGGGTGCCACAACTGTGCCATGAAGAAAGGCAGCCAGGATGAGAGAAACATCAAGTTTAACATTAAGAACATCTTGATGGTTTTCACTTTTGTTCTTGGAACAATATTTGTTGTTCTCCTGACAGTCATTCCATCTGTGCCTATTCTCCAAATGTACTTAATGACTTTCTGGTAAAAAATTATAATGAAGAGGGATGGGATCATAAATACCAAGAGGAGATGGATGATACTGTAAGCAGATCCTTGCCAAGAACTGGGAAGGAAAAAGTTGCAGTGGTGGTTGTTGCTAGAGCCATAGAAGAAGCAGGCCGGTGATGCAAACAGAGCACCACAGAGCCAGGAGGCCAAAATCATTTTTTTGGCTTTCCCCCTGGACACTTTGAAGCTCAGGGGGTAGACAATGGTGTAGAATCGATCCACACTGATGGCGAGGAGCACGTAGATCTGGACCCCAGGTGTGAGGTACTGGATGTACCTGACCAGCCGGCACACCCCGCTGCCCAGCATCCACCGCCCGGAGCTCAGCTGCAGCAGCAGGAAGGGTGCACTCCCCATACTGCTTATGAGGTCAGCACAGGCCATGGACACTACAAAGTAGTTGGTGGTGGACTGCGTCCTCCTGCTCCTGTGAATCACTAAGCAAACGAGGAAGTTTCCCAAGACAGAGATCAGCCACAGCGCTCCCCAAGCCACGCTGGCAGCTGCGATTTCCCCGGGCCTCAGCCCATATTCTACCAGAGAGTGGTTCCTGCTGGGGCCGGCTCCCAGGGCTGGAGGTTCTGCCATGTCGTAGCCAGCAGGAGGGGAGGAGGCTTTGGGGCTGCTCATGTTCTGCAGCAGGAGCAAGGTAAGGAGAACAGGACCACTGCTGTTATCCATGCTGTGAGAAAACTCGGCTACATCTTTTGCTCAGGCTGCAGACAGAAAGGAGAGAAAAGGTTCTCTTGAACAGCTGTGTATGAGAAGCCCATTTTAACCTACAAAAGAATATTCTCTGTAATAGAAATATATACTGTAGCTTCTGTATTTCTGGGCTAACACTGAAATACAGCTTTTGGGTTAACACTGTAGCTGGTGGTACAACAAGCTGTGTCAGGGGTCCCACCCCATTCCCTGGCTGGTTTGAGGTGGCTGCCAGCCTTTCATGCCCTGTCACATCCTTTCACTTTTTTCCTCACAGCCCCACTCCATATCTGCGCCGTGTGCACCATGACCCCAACTCTGCCTTCGTGGGGGGAACAAGAAGGGCAGGACCCCTTGGCCAACACAGAAGGTCCCCAGGTAATAAGAGGACTCAGCACAGAGAAATTTCTGGACCATTACCATGTATGTCCACAGGCCCTGACCAGACCAGGTTATAGCCTCCTTTTTTGTGGGGTTTTCCTTAGAGCAGGATGTCTGTGGTGGGAAGCCCTTCCCTTGGGGCAGGGGTGCTGCCCAAGGAGACTTCCTGGGATTGAGCATACTCACCATCAGCCCCACACCTCTGGAAGAATGACTGTTTTGATCTTGAGTGATTCTTAGACCCTTATGGATGAAGTGAGCTGAATTTCTGGTAGTCTTTCAGTGAGAGGCCTTTGGGGTGTGCACTTTGGGCCGTCGTTCTTGTCCATGGAGTAACAATGTCCCCAACTGGTGACACCAAACATATCTACCAAATGTCACTATCTGTGAATTACAGTTTGTCTGAGGGTGTTACCTCTGTGAAATTGTTCTCCTGCACCCTTCTGGCAGACACACCACAAATTGTGATGGGTTTGGCTCCTGTTCTATGTCTATACTGCTAGATAGTTTCCAGTGTTGAGTTTAGCCAGATGGTTGAGTTGGTCTTAGCCTGTCACAGGGATAAAATGGGAAAATAGCTCATTTTAGTGACAATACATATTCAAACACCCTGCTTCTGTCTGATGTCCTTTCAGTCATCATCTTGACATGCAAAGCCGTTTACTCACTAGACATACAAAACCTTTTCTATGGGTCTACTATGAGAATGCTGAACTCCAGAGCTTGATAGTGTGCAAGATAATTCGGGATTCAGTTAATGACCGGAAGATCAAAAAGTTCACCTGGGAAGCCAAATGAACAAGCTCAAAAAGCCACCACCATCCTCCTCAGCTTTCCAAGTGATCCAGATTTCCAGGTTTGCCTTTGGATGGTCTTTTCCCAATGCTTCACTGATGCTTTTTCCTGTGCCTACTCTGGCTCTGCACCTACCACTTACTATTTTCTCCTTGTCTTTCTACTCAGAGTGAAGCCTGAAAGCGCAGAGACACAGGATGAATTTGGGATCTTGCCCCTTGTACTGCTTTGCATGTCTCCTTCAATAATGCAGTGCAGATGTGGAAGAAGAAAAGAAGCAACAATTTCTTGGTGTGGTTATAGAAGATTTTTTTCCCCCTCTAGCTTTTTAGCGCCTGTATTTACTGTTTGCGTTATGTGAGGGGGCACTGTCAGCAGGTCATACATTGCCCCTTGTCCCCTCCTCTGCTGGAGGGCTGTGGGTGCTGCCTAGCGTGGCCTTGCCTTCCCCTACATCCTTGGTTGCCTTCCCTCTTTGTTTTCTTAGTGGCTTTACCTGGCAGATGATTCCTGATTTCTCAGAAGGCTCTTGCTTGTCTTTCCTCACCCTCCTTTGGATGGATCATCCCCCCTGAAGAAATTCTGCTTTCACCAGCAGTTGGCAGGGCATTTGGGCTGCTGTGTCTGGCAGAGTGGCAGGATGCACTGTCAGTACAACCTGCTAAATTACCTGTTAGAATTATCTGTAATAAAATAATACACATGGAGGCTATTAACTAGATCAAAAGGAATATTATGGGAAAATTTTCTTCCTTAATTTCCCTTCTTGCCATGCAGAAGTATGTACCATCTAAAAATAGCCAGCTGTACAAATTAAGCCTCATAGATAAAATGTCTTGACCAGTACTGAAGAGCAGTGGAAGTCTGGTACAAGAATGGAATGGCCTTTCTAGAGGTGTTAAAATAGGCAGAGTTGCTAACACTGTTCTTGTGATATTTCTCCTTGTGAGCCAAATCTTCTCTCTGTGTCTGCTCAGATCTGACACATTTAGTTTTGCAGGTGGATAAACCCCAAGACAGTTACAGGGCTGTAGTGCCTAGATAGTACTTTTTGGCTTTTTTTCTAATGCATCTGTCTAAGAGTCAGCCCAGCCACTGTTCCTGGGAGAGCTTGGGTTACCTGCAAACACACTTTGGAGAAGACAGGAATTGAGCAGCCCTGGGCAGAGAGCAGCATGTGACCTCAGTGGAGAGCAAGCAGTGGTGTCCAAAGGAAGGAGGATTCCAGGAGATGAATCCAGCTGCCCTGTGTCAGTGCTTTCCTGGCAGAGGAAGCAACACAGGAGTAGGAAGGGCTGTCCATGCAGAGATGATTCTTGTGTGCTGCTGCTTTCCTCACTGTCAGTGAAACAGGAGAGGCACCCACCAGAGGTGCTGAATTTTTTGATTCTTCATTGGAAAACTCCCAGGTCATTTAGCCCACTGCCCATGAGGCACAGGTGAAAATATAGTTGCAATTATAGGTAGTTTAACTAACTTGAGCCTATTATTTCACTGGTTGTACAGCAATTACTTGTTTTTTTTTCAAAAAAGTAAAATGCAATCTGACTAACCACTGTACTCTGACATTCCTGCATTCTTAGTCATAGGTAATTTTTTCTTCAAATGGACCAGAAATTAATTTATTTTATTTTAAATTATTCAAGCCTATTTTCCTTAAGTGGCGCTGAGATCAGGATCATGCCCTGATTTAGTACTAAGAACCTGAGTGTCTATGGCCCAGCATATATTTTTCTTCAGTGAGAAATTCTGGTTTTTATGAGTTTGTTTTTTATACTGGAGACTTGAACTTTTGCATTATGAGTAATGCTCCAGAAGGAAACAGGATCATAAAAAGCTCAGCATAGGCACAACTCTTTATGATCTGAGATGCAAATAATTGGAGATATCATGGCTTGCTACATTATTTATCCCCAATTCCCATGTCTATATTAGCTACATTGTTTGCTGAAATACGGTTTAAGTGTTGGTGAACCCTTCAACTTGCAAATATCAGATCCATAAAAAACAGTGATTAGTTCTGTCAACTCCCTCTGCCCTAAAGGTCCATAAGCAAAAATTTAGAAGCACAACAAGTAAAAATTATGTATAGCAAGTAGGCGATGCCTAATTACATTTTTAGTTCACAAAAATGCTTGTATTATTTTTCCTGTAAATCAATATAATACTGACCTGAATGACTGCTTTCCAGTAATTGTGAGTCTGCATGGATTCAGCAGTGCCAAAAATCTCACTTTGTCTTTCAAGCATTTTAGAGTGGGAATCCTTTTAAAATTGGTATAAGGCCTTTCTGTATTTCTGTTTAAAAACCTACTTCTTCATTGTCTAGGTTTGGAAAGACAGGTGTCTGCTAAGGAAGGCAGGAGCCTCTCCTGAAATGGAAAAAAATGTAGACCCCTTCCTTCTGAACTGTTATAAATTTGTAATTAAAGGGGGCTCTCAGGCAAAAATATGGGAGAAGGAATAACAGTTCTTTATTAGGGAAGAAAATAAAAATATAAAAGAAACAATTCAGTGACCCAAAACAACACTAAGAGAGTCAGAATACAACCTGACACCTTGTTTGAGAGGGTGGTTGGCAGCAGTCCAATTGGGAATTATGGCTGCAGTCCTCCTGGAGTGTCAGGTGTGACACTGAAGAGGCAGTGGAAGAGGCAGCTGTTCTTCTGGGAAAATATAGTGCAGAAAATCTGGGAAAAGATGTGTGGGTGGGCTACAATCTCAAGACTAAATGCAGGTATGAATGCTTGGCTCCTCCTTCTGGGTGGAGCATCTTGCGATGGGATGTTACAGTTCTTACAAGTCATGCAGTGACGTTCAATAGCCCATTATCAGCAGATGTCTCCCCAGAGGGAGGATTGGTTGTGGAAGAGATAAGGAAAAACTGCCCACTTAGCACAAGACAACTGCCATAGAGATGGCAAATAGAATACATCTTGCTTTTCAATCTGGGCCACTCGTGCATTATCTTTGGAAAAGAAAGAACATGTAAAATGACTCACAATCATTGAAGAGGGATTTCCTGGTGCCACAGTTCCATTTCACTGACCTTAATTTGCAGTTTGGAAATCAAATAGCTCAATTTTGAGCCGATAGCTCTCCATAACAGATCTGCTACTTAGAGATTAACTATTTGAGCCACAAAAATTTCATGAAATCACTGCCACATACACTTGGCTATTGCACAAATCCCATATGGCATAGTCACTGTGTGTTTGCATGTTCACTGTCCTAAAAATGCAGTGCCCATTAGAGCAAAACCTAATAAGATTCAAAAAGGAATGCAGTAAATGGGATTTTTAAGATGTTTCATCAAAAGAAAAAGTATTTTGTTTTCAATATTAGAAATACAGCTAAATAGGCAGATCATTGTACACTACTTAAGCACTAGCAGAGAGGCTTTTTTATTCAACATTTTTTACCTCTCTGTATCATAGCTGCAAAAGACTAGACAAGCATTGGCCCAGCAAATTTATTTCAAAAGCACTAAGCTGGTCATTTAGTCCATAAACTTCCCTCTCTGGAGAGTATCTTGGGATGAGCTGCCAGGCTGCAAGAGAAATGCTTCATTTAACTGAGTGTAATCAACATTAGGAGTATGAGCAAATTGAATCAGAATGCGGGAGTGGGGCTTTTGTCTGGCTGCAAGATGCTAGAAAATGACATCCACCCTGCCTAAATTCAGTTGAACTGCCCTGTGTGTGCAATGTGCCAGTGTAGAAATCCCTTTGTAGAATAGTGCGGTGTTTTAGTCTCTCTCTGTCCCTTGATGTACAGAGATGACTATTGTGCATATTGAGGCCATTTAGTCCTCCTGCTTCCAGTGGAGGAATGCGAATGCATATGCTTCTGTAAGCACACAGTTTCCCTGCCAGTCCTTTTCTCTGCTCTGGTGCTCATAGAAATCCTCAGCTCTTTGCCCTGCTCCTCTTACAAAGGCATTTTTGTTCTCTGGGCAGCTTTTCTGAAAATCAAGGCCTGAAAATCTCTTGAGGTGAAGTGTGTTCCTGCATTTTGGCTGAGTCTCCTTAAGTTGCCATCTCCTGAAGTTCATTGTGGTTTTAAATTCTCTGAGAGCAATGGCTTTTCCCTGCATCTGGAGGCAGTGATTTTTCTCATGTATTTCCTGGGGTTAAGACTGACCTAGAGGAAGTTACTGTGGGTCCATTAACCTGGGGTAAGTCGCCAAAACCCAGTAATTATTCATGCACCTAAACCTTGAGATGTCTATTCTCTGTTGACACTGAGAAGGAGCCCTTACTGTAACTGCAGATAGACACTCAACATCATGCTCTGGTCTGGGTACAGGCAGTGGTAAAATACGAGCCATATCTGTGCTCAGTGTTACCCAGATAGACACCCTCACCTCCTCAGAGGGTACCACACAGTTTAAAAACAGGTACACAATGGTTGGAAGTCTCTTGGAGATGTAATTCTTCCTCCCATAGGATAACCCCTCAGGTTTAAGTGTTTCAGGGCTTTATTTTATCTTCCCACTGCTGAGATTAGTATGCAAAACTCCAAATTTGCCCTAAATGTCTAAAAAACATATATATAAAAATGGTGGCAGAACCCTGATATGTGCCCAGTGTGACTGTGGGGAAATGAAAAAGTGGGAGCAAGCAGAAGAAGGACTGACCTAATTTCCAACTCTGCTGTCACAACAGCTTCCACCTACTAGAATCATCCAAGAAGAGTGTAGAGAAGCTTGAAATACAACTTTGGAGGCTTTTTGTCCTCCCTAATGGGGGTTGAGTGTGTCCTTGGGCATGACTAGCCTGTACCCTTCTGTGATTCAGAGGTAAAAATATAGATGCTCTCACCCACGTGCCTGCATTATTTTTTAGCAACACCAGACCATACCCACAGCACAGCACATTCTTCTGCTTGAAGTGAGGAACACTGCACTTACCAGGACTGTTTTGCCATGGTGGGTGTTGAGAGATAAGCAGTGGTGACTCTCATGCCTGGCTGGTTTCTCTGCCCATCTCTTGGAAATTCTCACTCTCTCCCCTGCAGGGAAAATGCAGCAGCTGCAGGGAAGTCTTGGGCAGCTCAGCTCACCCTCTCACCAGCAGGGAGCAAAAGTCTTCCCCCTAGGAGAACCTGAGGAATTTTTTTTTTTTTCTTACTGTAGGGTTTGTGTGGAAAGGTTACATAGAAAGGAATTCTTGACAGGAAGTCTTGTGAAAATGCCTTTCTCGTCACACAAGATGTTCATGAGGAAACAAGACTTTTGCACTGGTGTGAACATTTGTGCTGGGATGTGAGAATTCCTGTCACAGGGCTCTTGACCCTTCTTGGTAACATGGAACTGGTGCTCATAGGGCACAGGTCCCTGTGTCAGACACAGTGACAGAGAGTGGGGTGGCAGTGGTGGTTTATAATCAGAGATGCCTGAGGTGCTTCCAGGAGGACTTACGTGATAGGAATAAGGGGAGCAGACCTGTACAAGAAGTAGAACAACACTCAGGCGGGCCTCTGCCTGATGATACAGCCATTAGTGAGAGCATTTCAGTCTTCCTACACCAGCTGGGCTGGAGAAGCCGGGAGGGCTGATGGTCATGCACAGCCTGAAGCTGGTTTGGAAATTCCTGATGTGGAGATGATTGTGGGAAGGGAGTCTCTCTGCTGGGCAAGGCTCAGGGAGGATAAAAGCAGTCCAGGAGAAGCCTCTGAGGCAAGGTATCAGCCTGCTGATAGCCCTTGATCTGGAGATGCCTTCATGGATGGGGTGCCAGTTGCAAGAACTGTGTTTGCTACCTGCCAAAGGGGAAGTCTAGGGAAAGACAGAAGCTGCTGGAATGTAGAAATCCCAAACACACAAGGGCTGCATCATGTTTTGGTGTTGGGAGAACTGGTAGGGAGGGTGAGCTGACTCCACCTGAGGATGTTGGGGTTTGTTCTGCATTGTCTGACTGAAATTGCCCTCTGTTAAACACCTGAGAGAGGGAGTCCGGTGGGGCTGCAAAGGAAAATGCAGTTGGAGGTCATATGGTGTGACCCAGCTGTGGGAATTGCACTGCACAGCTCTGCAAACAGAAACCTCATGGGAGAGCTGTGGGGGAGGGCGATTCTGCAAGCTCTTACTTTGAGACAAAGAGCACAGCTCCCCAAATGCGTCTAAGGTATAGAGATTCCTCCCCTTACTGACTCATCTGAGAGCAGAATGCTTAAAATAAATCAGAAATCAAGCTTACTCATAATCAAGTTTCAAAAAATTTTCCATATTTAGTTGCTAAAATAAGCTTTCAAGGATGCTTCTAGGTTGGCAACCAGTTTTTCTGTGAACCAAGCCACTTGTTTAAGAGTGACTTTAACAACAAACCTTCAAGAACCACATCTGAGAACCTTTGCCAGAAAGAACTGGCTATGAATCCTGCCTCATACACACAAATGGCCTTTTGAAAGCAGAAGGCAGCTTTATTTTTCCGTTACTCTGTGGGGCCAACATACTGTTTGACATGCTGTAAGCCAGCTGGATAAATGAGAAATATTGCTATGCATTCTTAGAGAGTCTGTGCCTGAATTAGCTAAACCAGAACAGCCCTCTTGCCTGTGCTGGTTATGGATAAACGAAGATTGCTCTGCCTGTGGGGTTCCCCTGAGTAGCTGCACCAAGGCACCCATATGGAAAAAGGGAGACAGCGCTTTCAGAAAGGGTGTTTCCAAATTAATGACTGAAAAATACAAAAGCTACTGTTCCATAGCAATAATGTGAGGAAGGAAGAAGCTGCTTGAACGTGTTTAGAGACAGATAAAACCAGATTAACAGATCGGTCTGCTCCATTGCTGCAAAGTAATTTTCTGTTTTCACTGAACTCATGTCAGGAGATTGTTTCAAACAAATAAGTAACATAATTGAAAGATAATTAATATAGATAGAGAGAATGTAGATTTGTCCAGAAAATATAGGTAGTTATTCTGCAGTAATTATACACACACCCCCTGCTTTCAGCAGAATAAGTTTAAAATTCAAGCCCCACAGAACATTTTCTCCTGAGAAATGAGTTCTCCTGGCTAATCCCCAGGTGATTTAAATGCACTTAAGTAAATACACATAAGATAAATTACTGGGAAAGATCATGTTGTTTGCCTCCGCAGGGAGAATTACCCCTTTAGCTACAGCTTCAGCACAGCCCCATGCATCCACATACCTGCTCCAAAACATAATCCCAGAGGCACTGGTCTCCTCTTTGCTCTGATGGTTATCCCAGGTGAAGCCACGTCTGGGAAGGTCCCGGTCATACTGGGAACCATGAGGTACCTCCAGGGCTGCAGCTGCCTCTGCCCGGCTGTTCGCAAAGCCACCGGAGGGGAAGGACGGGGTGTTCCACCCCTCTTTTGCATCGGAGGAAAAAATGACGTTTCTCAGGGGTGGCCGCTGCCCAGCTCCTTTCCGTGTCATGTGGGATGCGGATCATGCGGCCGCCCCCACGGCAGGTCCTGGGCGCGCCTCCCGCCCCGTCGGGGCCATCAGCACCACGGACAGCTCCGGGAGCGGCGGGGCGGCCGCACCGGGGGACACCGGGGGGACACCGGGGGGACACCGGGGGGACACCGGGGGGACACCGGGAGGCCCCAGGGCTGGGCCGCCCCCCGCCCATGGCGGGGCCCAGATGCCGGCGCTGACGTGCTGGTTGCCATGGCGAGAGCGGCGGCTGGAGAGGATGCTTTTCTCCCACGATAGTCGCCATGGGACCCCGCGATTGAAATGAAAGAAGCGAATGAATAAGAGGAGGGAGGTGGAGAGAATATTTAACCAGTTTCCTCTGGGAATCTGTGCCTTCTTTCTTTTTTTTTTTTTATTCCCATGTGGGTAGTGAAACTCAGACAGCCTGGTCCATTCCCCTGCTTTGGCCCCGATTTAAAATTCGGCACCTTTTTTATTTCTGGGGAATGGCACTGGCACAATTTCCTTATGTTCTCTGTCACGTACACTTTATTAAGCAAGTTGGTATAATAACAATCCCCCTCCCCTGTCCCCCCCGAATCTTAATCAGTCTTTTCTCACAAACATTTTTCCTGCAGAATTACAACGGCTCCGTAAATTGTATTACACTGCAAGTTTGAGGAAGGAAGGGATCATTTTAGTCCTGACAAACTTTCTACCTGTGAACTAAACAAGAAATTTGTTTGGAGTATGGATTTCTATTATTTCAGGATTTCTGACTTGAAATGCATTGGTAAACAGAACCAATAAAGGTTAGGTATTCTCCTTTGTTTTCCCTCATTTTTCAGTGGAGAACTCCAAATATATTTTTATAATTGTTTTTACTAAATACTTTTAGTGGAGAAAAAATACAGCTTTTTATTGAAAAATACTGCCAAGGAAGAAATAATCACTGTGGTTTTTTTCCCATTAATTGTAGTGGTATAGTTAAATTTTCTATATTTTACACTTTTAAGATACACTACTAACAGTGGAGTGGGCACCCCAGGAATCAAGTCAGAAATATAGAATAATAGACTAGACTAGAAATAGGTAAGGTGTGGGCAGATTTTTTGACTTAATGACATGGAGAGTGTCAACAAGAATTGTCTGTTCATCTTCCAGTGGAAGAGTTTGGAAGGGAGCATCAGATGAAGGGACCTGGCTCAGAACATGAAGGAGGGGTTTAGAGGGGAGTTCCTCAAAGTGTGGGCGCAACCACCTGGAGTTCTTTGCTGAAGGATGGTCTGACTGCAGAATTTGATGTGAAATTGAGGAGAGAATGAACAAATGTCACTGTGCCTTCCCAAGTCTCAGCTAGCACTAGTGCCTTGGCCAGGGATTTAATCCAGGGTACCCACATGGCAGGCAGGAATTCTACCACTGAGCTACCAGGACTATGACTAGCTTCTCAAGTCTCAGCTATCCCAGTACCTTTGGCACTGCGGCAAAGGCCATTCTTATGTGCTGCTGGGGGCACGAGGTATGGCCCGTGGGAAGACGAAGCCACCAGACTGAAAGACACGCAGAGCGACTCTGACAAAAGCAAGGAGCCGTCCTTCTGGGGGTATCTGTGTTCCGAGTTTATTGGCTCAAAGAAAGATAAGCACCAAAAGGCAATGAGCACCGTGTGCCCTGCTTGTTAAAGAGGGTGGTAACTGTTGCTTCACTTTGGAGCGCCACTTGTTGCTTTCGGGGGGTTCCTCGCTGACGTCCCCCGTCCCTCCCCGGCCCCCCGGGACCCTCCGGCTAGCTGTCCCCTCCGGGGCCGGGGTTTGCCGCGGTCCCACTGCCCTGGGCTCACCAGGCAGCGGCTGGGTTAGCATGGTCCGAGCTCCGGCGTTGCCTCAGTCGCTGCTAGGATTCGAGATAAAGAGACCCAGAGAGACCAATGGTATGCTTGTCCAGAGAGATTGTATTGCCTGAACGGTTGCAGGGACCCAAGGCCCTGGGCTATTGCCCAGATACAGTTTTATACAGCAAAATTAAGATGTAAGGTCTAAACAATGGGGATATTGTCCAGCTAAGGCACATCAGAACCACCCCAGGGGCCAGGTCCAATGGAACTGCTCAGGGGTGGGGAGAAGGGGGTTTACAGAGGAATGCTGAAGTGGGACTTTCCCGAAACAGTGGAGCATACATAAATGTATCTTTTCCCTCAGTCTCTCATTCCCAAAGCCTTTCTAAAACAATGGGGCATACATGAATGTATCCTTTTCCTCAGTTTACCATTCCCAAGGCCTTTCTAAAACCTTCCTCCACGCTACCATGCCAGCATGATAGCTACAGTAACAAGGGGAGGAAACAGCAGCCAACCAATGGGATAACACCTGGGTGTGGTAACAGGGGTGACACGCAGGGGAAACTTCCAATGAGGTAGGATGGAGGGACGGGACCCTGGAGACCAGCCTATCACTCGAGGCCCTGGATGGAACTTTCTAGGTGGAAGGGAGAGGTCTCTGAGAGACAGACAGGCTCCGGGGTGGGGTTGTGGGGGATAACTCAGCAGGAATGCAATGAACTGGGTGGAGGGAGGAATGACAGGCAGACGGAGGGGGGAAGATAAGGGAGGCTGGACCATTTTACAAAAAGAGGGGGAAAGGGAGCAACCATAACTGGGGGGAAACTTAAAACGCACCCCAGCATAGAATGGAAATCTCTAAACTAATAAAACATATTGCTTTCAGAAAATTATCTGAGCTCAGTGCATTGGAGGTTGGGAAAACTCCTGGGGAAAAGTTTGTACTGAGGTCCAGTGAAAAGTATTTTTATAAACAAACTAATAATTTTACAAAGGAGCTGGGAGTGTGACTTTTTAAATACACCTACAATATGCCTCTGCCCTGTTAGAGAATGACAATAGTGATGGCAGCTTGGCTGTATACTATCTTCATTACTAGGTGTTTCACACAGTGTTTTTCAGTTTGGTGGCTTTTTTTTCCAGCAAGTTGGGTTTTATGTTTGGGGCGTTCTTTTGTTTTGGTTTTGTTGTTGTTGTTTCTGTTTTCCTCCCTGTGATTGTTGTAGAGGCACCATGTTTTGAAAGAAAACAACCCTGACAGTTGTTTTGGGGTTCACTTTATCCTACTTGCCCCACAGACATAGGGATGAGGGCTTGAAGTATTTAGTGATACTAGTCTTTCATGAGCTTTACATTATCTTCTCCAGTGACTATTGAATCAGTCAAGCCTTTATAAAATTCCCAAACTGCTCCTGTTATTCCAAATCTGAATGTCAGTTTTTGCCAGGGCCATTGTTGCTGTTGATTATTTTGGAACTGCTTTTGCAGGGCAAAGTAATTTTCATTCAGCATTGATCTGGTTTTATTGTGTGGGGTTTTTGACCAATCCTGGAAGTATATAAGTATATCTCAGATTTATATATATATATATATATATATTTATTTATTTATTTATTTATTTATTTTTTAATACCTATCACATTCCTGGTATTAAGGAAGCTTTTATTCCTGCCAATGAATCCAGAGACAAACCCAGACAAAGATGGCAAGTACCCCAGCTGACGCTTGACAAGTGACAAAAGAGTTCACCACCAGAAAGTTTGCTCTGGGGAGAGGGAGCAGAGCAATAAATCCTATGAAGGGATGAGAGATAATAGGTGAAAATTAAAATGTATGGAGTGTTGTGCGTTCCGTGTATTGGGATCATTATGGCTGAGTAAGTCCCTGGGGTGCAACTCCACGTGGAGTCTGTGTTTGCAGGGGCAGGCAGGGGGAAATAATTGTCATTTTTGCAGAGGACTGGACTCTGATCTGGCCTTGATAGTCCTTATGGGTCCCTTCCTCTCAGGATAACTCAGGATATTCTGTCATGCTGAGTTTTCCCTGTTGTTCAGGGGGTTTAGGCTCTAGGGCTTGGTACAACCAGGGTCACCAGCCCTGGGGGGCTGGAGGCAGCTCTGCGTTTCATCAGAAAAAGTCTGTCTTAAATTCCTACCTCTGTTGGTGCCCCAGGGGTGTGGTTCTGGATCCATTGTTTAACATCTCTGGGCCAAAGTCTGATCAGGAGAATCTGCACTGGGTTGAAGTGAGGCTGCTGCCTACTGAAGCCCCATAGCAAAGCCCAGTCTGTTACTGGTTAAGCACATCTCCAGTAGCTGTCCTAGGGCTGAATTTGGCTCAGGGCCTCAAGAACTTGGACCAGTGCATGAATGACTCCAGGTTCTCTGAGAACGCCGCATTTCAGCCTGGTTTTGTTTCAGGCATGAGCAAGGATCCCTCAGTGTGAATTGTGCCACTAAAGGGGAGCCCACAAGAGCAGGGCTTTTTGTTTTGTTGTTTGTTGTTTTCACCTGTTTAAATCCCAACAGTGGTTCAGGGAGTAGTGAGAAATGCCCCACAGCTGAGCTAAAACCATGTCTTTTCTTAGCTGTGCTTAGACCCCTCAAAGGTCTGACCTTGCCCTTCTGGGATCTGAGCACAGACATGTAAAAAGAAAGTGAAATTCTGGGATAACAAGCTCTGGGAACACCTTGCATGCGCTTTGTGTGGAAAATAGCAACTTGCCTGCAGGAAATATGACTCACTCTCAATGGTGTTTGGGAAAGTAGGGAGATATCTAGGTTTCTGTTCAATTAAAGCTTGTTGTGAACCAGCTTACTTTGCCTCCTCCGCAAGCATTGCATGAAAAGCAGGAGTCACTGGCCCTTGGAGTGAATATACTGTACTGTGCATACTGATGAATGTCATTCCATATGACCTACATGAAGTAAGAGCAGCTGGGATGAGTCAGATCTCTGTGGCTGAGGCTGCCACAGTTCCTGTGCTCTTGAATTAACTGCTTATATTTGAAACTGAGCAGGACTGATGTCAAACCATTCATTGTGAAGCAGCAGTAAGATCTGTAGCAACTTTAAAGAGGAACTTATTCCCTGGAGACATTGATCCCTTGTCTGTTATTCAGAGAGAGTTGTGGTGATCATGTCATGTGGTGATGGTGGTCATGTGGTGATGTCAAAGTCATGTCAAGAGGCTGAGGACAGAAAGGATTGCTGGCAATGCCAGTCAGGGAATCCTAAACAGGGAGGGAGCTATGGCATCAGACGGAGCCATGACAAGCATGGATACATGGATAATCCAGTGCTAAG